GAAGAGGCCTAAGGATGTGCCATCCAACCCACAGTCTTTCCGGGTGAAGAGTCTGAGGCCCAGAAAGCTGGGGAGAGCCCAAACCCAGGCCTCCTGCATCTTCTCAGGGTTTGGGGAGGGAGGAGGCAGATCATAGATACTTGCCTCTTACCAGGAAGCACAGGCCCCCAGACATGCCCCAGCTGCAAGGGAAGGGCTCTGGGGCCCAGGAGTCTCCCACTTTTTCTAAGTGGGAGATGGAGAACAACTTTCCCTCAGGGTCAATCTTGCTTAGTTCAAGCAGGTATCCTCCTAAGCCACTGCTAAGGAGACATTGAATTTACTGCTTGGAACCAAGCAGAGAGATTTAACAGTCACCACTGACTCTTTTTTTTTTTAAATTTCAGGCTAATACGAGGGTACCGATAATTAGGTTATGTTGTTTGCATTTGTTAGGTAAAGTTCAAGTTACAGTTGAGACTTTCACCCAGGGCTGTGCTGTATACCCTTATGCACTGCCCATTAGGTGAGAGCACACCAATCCCCCCTCTCCCTACTTGAATTTAATTGTGTTTGCCTCTCATGTCGGGTGTAGTGGTTTATCTGTTGGTTTCATATCAGAATTGTATACATTGGATAATTCTTTTTCCATTTTTGTGATACTTTACTAAGAAGAAGGCTCTGCAATCCCATCCAGGTAAATACAAAAGATGTAAAATCCCCATCTTTTTATGGTTGAATAGTATTCCATGGTATACATATCCCACAGTTTAGTAATCCATTCATGGGTTGACGGGCACTTGGGTTAATTCTATGCAGCTGACACTTTCTGAGTGTGGCGTTAAGGGCCCTCTAAAGAGGTGAGAGAGACAAGTGTTTGTGTCAAAGTCCTGGCTAGCTCCTGAGAGGGCTTTTCCACATATAGAACAGTACAAGTGACCTGTGAACAACACAGGATTGAACTTCAAGGGTCCACTTATACACGAATGCTTTTCAACCAAATGCAGAGGATTGAAAATACAGTATTCACGGGGTGGCACCTGTGGCTCAGTGGATAGGGCGCCGGCCCCATATGCCGAGGGTGGCGGGTTCAAACCCGGCCCTGGCCGAACTGTAACAAAAAAATAGCCGGGCATTGTGGCAGGCGCCTATAGTCCCAGCTACTCGGGAGGCTGAGGCAAAAGAATCGCCTAAGCCCAGGAGTTAGAGGTTGCTGTGAGCTGTGTGATGCCACGGCAAGAAAATATAGTATTCACAGGATAAGAAACTTACCTATTCAGAGGTACCCCTACTGGGCCATGAGTGGTTATATTATACCAGTGACTTTAAACTTTTTTTTTAGACAGAGTCTCACTATGTCTCCCTCAGTAGAGTGCTATGGTGTCACAGCTCACAGCAACCTCCAACTCTTGGGCTTAGGTGATTCTCTTGCCTCAGCCTCCCAAGTAGCTGGGACTACAGACGCCTGCCACAATGCCCAGCTATTTTTTAGTTGCAGTTGCATTGTTTAGCAAGCCTGGCCCGGGCTCGAACCTACTAGCTTTGGTGTATGTGGCACTGAGCTACGAGTAGCAGGCCCAGGCCGGTTTGAACCAGCCAGCCTCAGTGCGTGTGGCAGGCACCATAACCTCTGAACTACAGGCGCTGAGCCGATTTTAAACATTTTTAAAATCACAGAACCCTTTGTTCATATGAAATTTCATATGGAAGACCAGATATAAAACAGACAGTAGTGGAGGTATTTGTATTGCTCCCTTGGAGAGAGCCCCTTCCCTTCTCCAGGGTCTCCATAGAACCCCAAGTGTTCCAGGGGTTCAGCAGTTTGAGAACCACCGAACCAGGGTTTCTATTATTTAATTCTGGTAAATGATTTGTGTCAGCTGGTAGGTAGCATTCAGAAGAGCTCTTTTCCCACTGTGATTGTCGTGATACCATGTATGCTTAGCCAGTCCTTCCATAGGGCCCCAAACATGCACAGAATGTTGCCTCTCTTTATACCATCGAATGTTGAGCTAATCCCTGCCTGGTGGCAGAAAGAAAAAAACAGGCATAGTCAGACAGCAGTATGGTCCAGAGGGAACTGGTTATTTTCTTCTCTCACCTGGATCACCCAAATGATCCATACCTGTCAGTTTCTGAAGGCTATGACTCCTGCTTATCAACATTTATTTGCTTCTATCTGGCTTTGGCATCCAGTGTCATGGGAGTATTCTCATATCAGCAATGGGAGAGTCAGTTTCATGATGTAAAAAGAATCAGAGTGACTTGCCATTTGAAAATTATGCTTGGGTACATGCTCTGAGAGAGGCTCTTCCAGAGTTCTTTTTTTTTTTTTTTCCTTTTTTGTAGACAGAGTCTCACTTTATTGCCCTCAGTAGAGTACTGTAGCGTCACAGCTCACAGCAACCTCCAACTCCAGGGCTTAGGTGATTCTCTTGTCTCACCCTCCCAAGTAGCTGGGACTACAGGCGCCTGCCACAATGCCCAGCTATTTTTTGTTGCAGTTTGGCTGGGGCTAGGTTTGAACCCGCCACCCTCAGTATATGGGGCTGGCACACTACCCACTGAGCCACAGGCACTGCCCTCTTCCAGAGTTTCTAATGCGATTGTTCTTTCTCCTGCAAAAGCAAACCATATCTCTGTCAGAGTCACAGGGCTGGTGAGTAAAGTAAAAAAAGTCAGCTTCTGACTCCCACCCCAGCACCTCCATGCCTTTTTTTTTTGAGACAGAGCCTCAAGCTATCCCCCTGGGTAGAGTGCTGTGGCATCACAGCTCACAGCAACCTCCAACTCCTGGGCTCAAGCGAGTCTCCTGCCTCCGCCTCCCAAGTAGCTGGGACCACAGGCGCCTGCCACAACGCCTGGCTATTTTTTGGTTGCAGCCATCATTGTTGTCTGGTGGACCCAGACTGGATTTGAACCCGCTACCTTAGGTGTATGTGGCTGGTACCTTAGCCACTTGAGCCACAGGCGCCGAGCCAGCACCTCCATGTCTTACCCCCATGAGTAAATCACAGTGGTCACAGCAGGAAAGAGAGGGCCCTGGGCTGGCAGTTAGGAGCCTGAGTTTCAGTCCTACTTGGCTTCCATCTCACTGTATGGCTTTGGGCAAGTCCCCAGCCCTCAGTAAGCCATCTCTAAACCTCAGTCTTCCCATTCATGAAGTAGAGGAAAGGGAGAGTCCATCAGTTACTTATATAGTTTAAAATAGTTTGATTTCATGACATCTAAAATGCAGCTAAGGGACCGGTGTAGCTAACTTAAGACTTTCTTTGCCCCCACCTCATAGGCAGTAGGGCTGTGCTTAGAAAGCAGGGCTGTATTCCTATTAACTTGCTCTTAGCCCCCACTGGAACCACGAACATGTAGTCCTAATCTGGGCTGGAGCCCTTGGTCCCATATTCTGTCCAATCCTGCCTCTCAGAGTCACCATCCCCACCCCATGTCCAACTGTCACTGCCTCCCTGGACCCCACCGGAGGGGTCAGGGCCTTTCCTGAAAGCCAGCAGCTTCAGTTTTCCCGCAGCTGCTTTAGGTTCTAATCCTTACCTCTGCTCCTCCCCACCTCTTGTCCTGATGACAATTGGTAGCGGCTGCCATTTATTGACTATTTGCTATGTGCCAGGCTCTCTTTTATGTATTTTATGGGTCCTGATTATTTTGATCCTCACAATAATCCTGACATACACACCATTATCATCTCTGATTTATAGACGAATAAAATGGGACACTGGGGATTAAACGTGCTTGGGGGTCATTTATCTAGCTACAAGGTGGTGAAGCTAAGATATGGCCCTTGGCTCCATCACTCAGCCACTGAGCCAGACAGAAAGTGGAAAGAGATGTGTGCACATGTGGGGTGGTGCTGGACCAAAGCACCCAGCTGCCCCACGGATCCCATCCCTACTACTTTGTTGGCCAGTGAGGCCAGGGAAGGCAGAGGTAGCTTCCAGCCAATTAGGAAGATAAATCTGCTCCCCTGGAGTTAGACAAGGCAACATCGAGTCCAAGAGAAACCACCTGCGCAATATTTGCTGATTTACATTTACATCATTTTCTTTTAGAGACAGAGTCTCACTATGTTGCCCTTGGGAGAGTGCTGTGACGTCGCAGCTCACAGCTACCTCCAACTCCTGGGCTTAGGCGATGCCCTTGCCTCAGCCTCCGGAGTAGCTGGGACTACAGGTGCCTGCCACAACACCCAGCTATTTTTGTAGTTGTTGCTTTTGAAGTTTGGCTGGGGCAGGGTTTGAACCCTCCACCCTCGGTATATGGGGCCAGCACCTTGCTCACGGAGCCCCAGGCGCCGCCCTACAGTCACATCATTTTTGCCTTTTTAAAAGTTCAGAGCATATTTACTAGGATTCAATAGAAGGGGTCCTTCCCTTTTGTTTTGTTCTTTAGTTCTTGTTGCCCCATGTTCTTTGTGTTCCTGGCCTGGTTATAAAGGTGGCTTTGAGTTTTCATGAAAAGGTTAGAAAAGTTTTAGATAGGATTGTGGATGAAAATCAATGTAGGAGCCAGCAAACTGAGGCTGGTGCTTGAGATGTGGTGGTGTGGGTTGGGGACTGGGACAGGTCTTTAGTTCGGCCGCACAAGTGTGAGCTTAGGAGGCTGGCCGGAATCTCGAGTGCTGTGACAACAAATAGAGCGGCGTGGAGCGGGCAGGCGACGACAGCGCCCACTTGGCAGAAGCGCGAACGTACACACTCCGCCTGCTCCAATTCCGGGGCAGAGGCGGCCGCACCAACTGAAGTGGCAGTGACCGCGGAGTGGGCGCGGTTGGGCCCAGGCGAGCTCCACCTCCAAGGCGCGCCTGGGTCGCCCAGGCCCGCCCCGCGGCGGCACTGCCATTGGTCGGCGCCGCCTCAGCCACCTGCCCCTACCTTGGGGGCGGGGTTACCTGGGCCCCGCCCGGTGGCTCGGATTCCCAGGCTGCGTTCCCGCCTCCTCCTCCGGCCCCGCCCCGGCGAGAGGCCCCGCCCCTCGAGTCCCCGAGCCCCGGCGCCTCGTGATGTCACTGCAGCTTTGATACAAAGAGCCCTTCGGCCCACGCGGGTCTCCCGGCAACGGGCGCGGGCGGGGGTGGGGCTGCCGCCCTCCACGGGTTCCGAACCGAGTGCGGCGCGGCCGGGGGTTCCCTGAGCTGTCGAGGCTGCCTGCCTGCCGCGTCCCTGCGCGAACCTCTGCCCCGCGCCCAACGGCGTCCGCTTCTCTGCAGTGCACCGACCAGCGGCCGGACCGGGATGCGCACCCCACCGGCCCCCGGGAGCCAGGTAAGCGGCCGCCGAGGGGCTTGGGTTTGCGGGGTCTGGACGACACGTACCTGGCCCGGCCCGGGCTTCTGGGCCATGGAAGTTGGTGGGACGCAGAACTTCGCCCGCCCGGGTCCCGGGAGTGTCCATCCTCTCGGCCCCGGCGAGGTTGGTCGGGTTACCTGCCTGAATCGCTCGGCCACTAAGGAGAGGCCGCTGCTCCTCCGAGCCCTCGGCCCGGCACCCTGCCCGCGCCCAGGTGTGAGAGTGGCACGCTCGCTCCGGTGAAGTTTCAGGAAGTGTTTTAGGGGGACCTGGTGGGCTGGGAAGGGGGCTTGTTTTTTCGGCCCCAGAGCCCTGCCCCCCTCCCTCCGCGGGACCGGTGTGGCCACCAGTGCTCTACCTTGGCTTGGCCAGTCCTCTAGGGGGTTGTGCACAGCGAAGTTTTAACTTAGCTTTTGGCGGCTGCACAGAGCCGGTCTCCTGGCTTCCCTTGTCCCTCCGGGGGCTCCTCCAGGCCAGAAGAGACCGGCTAGCCCAGTTCAGGATTTGAGGGTAGGGACCTACTCCTTCCCTTCCTGGATACTACCAAGGCAGGAGGTGTGCCAGCGGGTCTACCCCCATAGTAGTTGCTGTTGACACAGCCACTTCTCTGTACAGGGACAAGTGTTTTGAGGTTCTGCCAGTGTAGAACCTGAATCTGAAAAGCCGTGACTGCTGCAGAGAACCTAGTTCCGACGTAGCCCTGGGCCCTATTCCTTGTTACCCGGTTTCCCCGGCTTTCCCGCAGACGGCTGGAAATGACACTTGCCTCCTTCTGAGAAGTGCGCCAGTTTTCCTAGATTGACATACGTAGCTTCCTTCCCAGAGGAGTGTGAGGGCTCCAGGTCCCTGTCTCTGCACTTAGCCCCCTCATCTGGGAGTGGCAACTCCCTGGGCTGGTTCCTGGAGATCCACTAAATCTCTTCCCTGCCTTGGGAAGAGCAGGGGGTGGGTGGGCTCCAGCTCCTGGGAAGCTGGGAAGCAATGGGGCGCTGCCTGAAAGATGGGTGAAAGACGGTTACAGTGATTGCCAGATTTGGGAAGAAAACAGAATCTTAAAGGAGAAAGGGGTGGTCCCATTTGTGTGCTACCAGACCTCTACAGTAGAATATCTCTATCTCTCTCTCTCTCTCACATTGTGCCCCCCACCCAGCCTTGGTGGAGTGCCCATGTCACTGCCATATACAGGAGTCTCACCCCAGTGCTGGCCCTAGGGCCCAAATCTTACCCTGCTTATCTGGCATTCGGGACTGTTGACTATGTGCCCAGAGAATATTCATGGACACTTCCCTGCCCTCAAAGTGTTTTCATGCTGTAGGGAGACTTCGAATAGTTGGATCTAACTCTGAGCCTTGGGCGAGCTGATTGGAGCTGTCTTGGAGGTTCATGTGATCTCATAATCTGGAGTGTGCGCCCTGGAGGCCCGAAGAAGCCCCTCCCTGTGGTAAGCAGCGCACCTTCAGCAAATGCCTATTGGAGACCCAGGGTTTAGGTGAAGGGGGTGGGGAAAGTACTTAAAGGCCAGCCCAGAGAGATAAGCTGGGCCTGAGGGGAGGGGTGTGACTAGCCAGGCCAGGTGAGCAGGCTGGAAGGCTGACCTTTGCCCAAGCCTGCCTGGAACCTGTCCTTGGAAAGGACTGCTTTCCTTTTGGGAAGAAAAGCTGAAGAAACTAGACAAGGGTTTCTAAGCCATCTCCCTTGGGCTCCCGGGGGCTCTAGGCAGCAGCTTGAGAGTTTCCACTGGTCCCCCCTCTCCTCCCCACCTCTGTTCTCCTCCCTAAAGCACAGGTGTGCAGCTTCCTGGGCTGGTAGGACTGACCGCCCCAGACTCTCTATCTTTGGCTGTTCACTCAAGGCACTCATAACTCACTGAGGCATCCCCACCCTCCATGTAGTTAGAAACCCCTTTTCCTGGGCTGGTTGACCCTCCTCTGGGCAGCCAGTTATGCCAGGGTTTTTCCACCACTGATTCTACTTTGAGGGGCTTCACAATTTCACTTTATATGTCTTAGGTGTGGGTAAGAAGGAGGGAGGGTGGGAGAGGATCCTGGTGAAATACCAGGTGAGCAGTTCTCAGTAAGGCAGGCATCTCAGGGATGGGAAAAGCGCCCATCCCACCTGTGGCCCTGTGCTGTCTCCTGGTTCAGTGTGTTTGAAAGGAAGCATCTTTATCTCCTCCACCTGCTGCCTGGTGTCGGCAGTGGGGCATGGTGCCTTGCATGCAGGTCCCCTGGGGTTGTGCTCCGTCTTCCTCTGCATCAGTTCTGCTGGCTCCTACCTCAGTGACTGGGTGTTGATGGCCAGACCACTGGCCTCACAAATGAGGAGGACTGTTCAGTTCTCACAGCTGGATTATTGATGTCCTGTCTGTGTCTAGCTGGGTGCAACAAGACTGGGATGCTGATTTGGCAGGTGACACCACCTGGTGCCCTTCTGTATGTTGTGATGCAGCTGAGAACCCCAGGAGGAGGACAAGAGGGGACTAGCAGTACAGCTGAGACTAGGATCCCATAGGCACACGTGGCCTGTCATTGCTCTTCTCTCTCCAGACTCGTCACTTGGAGGGGATTTTGGCATTGTGGCATTTCTGGAGAAGAGGTGTCCATGGCCACTGCTGCTGTGGACTTCCCTTCCCTCGGCTTGGGTCAGGTCAGTTGAGCCTGTCCATATGAACAATTCTTGTCAGATTATGTGTTTCCATCACTCAAACCAAACCAGCAAAAAGCACACTGGTGATGTGCGCACAGCTGTGTCTCAGAGCAGTCAGAGCAATGTTTGGGGCTTACCAGCCTGTTCCTGTGTGTCAGGGTCTTACCAGGAGTCGGGGCAAATCCAGTTCTCCAGACCCATAAGGTAGTGGGCAGCCCAAACCTGCCCACACGCTGGCCTGCCCTGCCTGGGCTCTATTTTCCCTTCTCTTTCCTGATCTTCATGGACCCTGACTTCCCTCATCACCTAGGCAATTCACAGCACAGTTGTGTGCTGTGGTCTAGTAAGGACCCCAGAGAGGCACTCACACACCTGGGCAGCAGCTTTCAGTTTGATCGCCGTCTGGCTTAGGCCCCCAGTGCATATGTGCGTGTGTGTGCATCACACAGATGTCCAAGTGGGGCCTTGCCCATCCACACACCCTCTCACTGTGGGGGCCAGCTGAGCATTAAGGGTGCCCCCTGAGTTCCCTGTGGGTGAGGTTTTATTGGGGTGAATTTGTGGCTGCCTCTCCGGTCAGTACACAGTCCCTTGCGTGGGGGGGTGGGGGGTTGGGGAGGGATCTGCCAGCTTTGAGCCTGATCACAGTTCCAAGAAGTGTGATTGGAGCCCATACAGGTGGCAGGCTGTAGACCTAAAAGCCAGGGGAGCACCTTTGTCATCTTTTCATTTGGAGCTGTCATTTTCTCATGCTGAGTGTCTGACTACACATGACAGTCCTTGCCCAAATGTTTGAAGCCTCATCAGAACACTGTTAATTAAATGGAATTTGAATTTGGCATTGGCCAGTTAATGTGGGCCATCTTCAAGGCTGAGTGGACTCTGGGGCATCTGGCCAGCCTTGCTCAGAGGGGTCCTGATGGGCTTAAGGAGCTAAGCCCCTCACAAAAGCTTTTTTATGGTCAAGAGCGTAGATTCTCAGAATTTTCATTAGTACCTAGAGAGCCTGACGAGTCACTTCTTCATTTTTTTCCAGGACCTTAGAAGGGGGTGAGAGCAGGAGGAGAAAGCAGGCAGCCTGGAATGTGTGCCTCCAGGGAGGGTCACAGGAAGGTCAGAGGGGGCAGCCATGGTGGTCCAGGCATTGTGTTCTGGGTGACCTCCAGCCCCAGATCTGTCGGGCAGGTCGGTGCTAGTAATGCCAGCATTTCTAACCCTACTTCTTGACTTTGTTTAAGAATGGGAAGATGGGGGCGGTACCCATAGCTCAGTGGGTAGGGAGTCTACCACAAACACCGAGGCTGGCAGGTTCAAGCCTGGCCTGGGCCTGCTGGATAACAATGACAACTGCAACCAAAAAATAGCCAGGTGTTGTGATGGGCGCCTATAGTCCCAGCTACTTGGGAGGCTGAGGCAATAGAATCGCTTAAGCCCAAGAGTTTGAGGTTGCTGTGAGCTGTGATACCATGGCACTCTACCAAGGATGACATAGAGAGACTCTGTCTCAAAAAAAAAAAAAAAAAGAATGGAAGTTGTCCAACTATTGGTCATACTTGTGATTGATTCAACCTACTTCATCTTCCAGACAAGTAGGTTCTTTCCCAAAAGTGTAAACATTTTTCAGATGAAAACAAAGCCTTGTAGAAGTTATTATTGATATCTATGACTCTGCTCATGGGAGCCTTTCTCTTTTAAAGTACCAAAAAGAGGAAGGCCTAACAAAACAAGAGTGTGGGGAGAGTGGGTGGGAGCAGGCGCGCATGTGCGCTCTCTCAAATCATCTTTGGTCACCCCCACCCTCCTCTGCACTCAGCAGGCCTGATACCATAAAAGGGGAACCCACATTTCAAGTAGCCGATGCTGTGTGCAGTGGACTTGGGATAAGAGAGCTGATAGGTATCTGAATTTGATAGGAGACAGAATAGGAGCGAGCTTCTTTCTGCTCCCTAGTTCTCAACTCGGGTGTCTTCATCTCATGCTCTATCACCCAATGCCTATTTCCTTAAGGTAGGGAAAATATTTAGGAGCCAGAAAACATTTTGAGTCTAGATCCTGGCTCTGCTGCTTACTAGTTATAAAACTTTGGACACAGTACCTTACCTTTCTTAGCCTCAGTTTCTCCACCTATACAAGGGAGTTGATAACAGTATCTAACTTGTCACAGGGTGACAGTGAAATAAATAAAATGAGCTACAGTGACTTCAAATGCTTAGAATGACTCTGCCTTAGTAGGTGGCAAGGTAGTTAGGCAGGGTAATGTAGTACCCAAGAGCTCTGGAGTCAGCCTGTCTGGGTTCAAATGCACTTGCTATTTGCGGAATCTTAGGCAA